ACCCCCACAACTGGGAACAGGAAGATACTCAGCATTCTCCTAAATCTGCCATCAGTCAAAGTGTGACTCTGAGAACAGGGGGCATGGCTTGCTGCATGCTGTATGTGTCTATAGACACTCACAGCTAGGTGCAGGAACGCGCGCCTACGTGTTTCTCCTCAGCAGCTGGCTAGCTGATAGGGACACCGGCACTCAGGGAGGGGGGCTAGTGGTTTGGGGACAGCTAGAGAATGAAGAAATTAAAATGTTTAAAAAAGAAACAAGACATTTTAAGCAAGTCTGGCCCTCATAATACAAAAAAATAAAAAAATAAATAAAAAAAAAATCAAGGTTTAATGTCACTTTAACATGTCTATGAGAAAGTTAATGCAGATCATGAAAAATAGAATGTTTTAACACAGTAATGTTTATTGTGTTAAACTATGGTTAACCTTTGTGACTATTCTGCATGCAAATTAATTTAAAGCTGAACTCCACGCAAACAGCTAAACACACAGATGTAAAGGAGAATCCCCCCGCTGTTTCTATTGTATTTCGACAGTAGCCCACTTTTTAGGAACCCCTTCTCGACAGTTTGTTGCAGGGCAAAATGTCTGGGATGAGTAAAGATTTTCTCTGGACTAGACCAATCACTGTCTAAGACAGGTTGTAACAGTTTTTTAGAAAAAAAGTTTAAACAGTTGTATTTCCACTTTTGCAGACAAATTTGAGAAACCCCACTATGTTTGTTATGTGTTCCTATTCAGACAGCACAACTAAAAATAATTTTTAAAAATATTTCTTACCTTTTAAGATGTTTTGTTGTAGCAGTCAAAATGGCGAAATCCCAAATTCTCTGCACCATCACAGTTATCTGTCCTTATAGAAAGACTTAGGACTGAAATTTGTGGATTGCGTTTCTCTCATTAACTTCATTAACATGCAACATGCAATGCAGCTTTTAATCTTTTAACCCTTTGGTAGGACAGGCAGTGTTCAAATATACTTTACAAATTATAACGAAATGAGCTGGCTCACTACAGGTATGCTAATGCACCCCTCACAACCATTCCTAACATTACAAAGAAGGAGAAGCAAGTAGAAATTTTAACCCTTAAGAGGCTAAAAAAATTAAACAAAATAAAATCAATTTAAACTGAGAAGCATTTTTTAAATATTTTTTTAGTGTATGCTATGTGAATGGGCACATGTAAAAAATATAAAATAGGTGTTATCCCAATTTGGCTGCAAAAGTAGAAATACACTTTAAGAGAACCCAGGTTAGTAACCATAGGCATGTCTGAAACGGGTTGCTCCAGGTCAAGGCATGTGTGTACTGCATCAGTAAGGACAGAAAATGTATCCTTGCGTTTTGCAGGTATGTCAGCAGACTGAGACTCATGTACCAAGTTATCAAACACAAACAAAATATCCCCCTCATCATCCACAGCTGCAGCTACTGGGAAATTACTGATTGGACCCTTTAAGGAGATGAATGCTTGCAGCCCTTGCTTTCTGATTCATCTAACATGGCTAAAATTGTCCCAATAAATTAAGATATAGGGGAAGAGAATTCATCCGAAATTTTTTCAAATGTCATTTGGAATGAATTTATGTTGTTAAAATTGAAAAAAAAAACATGCCCCCCAGGGCATGTTTCTGTGGACTGTCAAAAGATGGAAATAAAAATGTCACCTTTTTTTAATGTCATGTTGCTGCTACAAAAATTAATTTGTAGGTCTCATTAAAGTATTTGTCCGAATCCCAAAACAAATTGACTTTCGGACCTGAATCCCAAAAAAACGAAATAATGGAAAATCTGAAATGATTAGAAGGGAGCCCAAGATACATACGTTGGATCCTAGTGAGGGTGTGGCAGTAAAAGAGAGATGCTAACAGGTCCACTCTGTAAACTGGCGTGTGCATACGCAGTGTATCAAGTTGGAAGGAGGTTGAGCAGACTGTGTCCAAACAGGCAATTGGCTCGAAAAATGGCATCAAAGTTAAAATGGTGCTGCCCCTCTTCCCGCTCCCAGCAAGGAGCAGTAAGCACACATCAGCCCTTACTGCAATAGCAGTCCAAGGAAACCCTGCAGTCCCCACTAGCAGGTTAAAGACGGTAGGCAGTAATTATTAAGTCCGATCCACATAGTCTTCATGTAGGCATAGTCCCTAAGTTGTCTTTAGGGTGTCTTACACCAATGGATGCAGCATAGCCCTAGACCTGTAAAGCATGACACAACACACTCAGGCCTCCCCATCCGATTCCTATGAAAATCATAGTTCGATAGATGTTCAGCTTGTCATGGCTTAAAGTGCTTTGTGTTAGCAATGGTAGGCCTAGTTTCTACTGAGATTCAAAGACCAAGGAGGGCTGAGTCTACCTTATCAGCTCTTCAAGAAGATTGGGTTTCAATGCTTCCATTCTTAGGTTGCGACCCACAGTGGTTGCTTTGCTGGCGACAGCTGTTCCCACAGTGCAGTAAGCAGAGTTTGTATGACAGACTTGCTAAAATGCACAGCAGTTGCCACTCTCAGCTAGCAAATGGTGATTGCATGCTACTGATGGTTGTTTGTGCTGAGGAAGAAAGAAAGGACACTTATATCAGCCCTGTGCATCAAGTGTTGGTTACTGCCCAAAGTAGGTAAGTGGAAGCCACTGAATGTAGTGTACTGCTACAAAATAATTTTTTAATTTGTATTATATTTATCAAAATTCTAAACTTAGATTGTACTACAACAGAATTAGGATTCACAGAGCGACAGATCAGCTAAACACACTGAGACATATTTAGCAGTCAGCAAAAGTGTTATATTAAGTGTCTGGAACTTCTCCAACTTTAGAAGGTACAGTTCTAAGACAAAATGATGTGTTGCTGCTTTGAATACCATAAAAGAACTTGCAGATGGACTCTTTCAACATCGAATCTCTTCAGGCCACAGAGCTTTGCTGAGATGATGCCAAG